GTCTCTCATCTATCTCTTCGTACTGGTCTCCATTCAGGTCTCTATCTCTCTTCCATTCTGGTCTCCATTCAGGTCTCTATCTCTCTTCGTACTGGTCTCTTCATTCAGGTCTCCATTCAGGTCTCTATCTCTCTTCGTACTGGTCTCCATTCAGGTCTGTATCTCTCTTCGTACTGGTCTCCATTCAGGTCTGTATCTCTCTTCGTACTGGTCTCCATTGGTCCATTCAGGTCTCCATTATCTCTCTCTTTACTGGTACTGGTCTCCATTCAGGTCTCTATCTCTCTTCGTACTGGTCTCCATTCAGGTCTCTATCTCTCTTCGTACTGGTCTCCATTCAGGTCTCTATCTCTCTTCGTACTGGTCTCCATTCAGGTCTCTATCTCTCTTCGTACTGGTCTCCATTCAGGTCTCTATCTCTCTTCGTACTGGTCTCCATTCAGGTCTCTATCTCTCTTCGTACTGGTCTCCATTCAGGTCTCTATCTCTCTTCTGGTACTGGTCTCCATTCAGGTCTCCATTCAGGTCTCCATTCAGGTCTCTATCTCTCTTCGTACTGGTCTCCATTCAGGTCTCTATCTCTCTTCGTACTGGTCTCCATTCAGGTCTCTATCTCTCTTGGTCTCTCCATTCAGGTCTGTATCTCTCTTCGTACTGGTCTCCATTCAGGTCTCTATCTCTCTTCGTACTGGTCTCCATTCAGGTCTCTATCTCTCTTCGTACTGGTCTCCATTCAGGTCTGTATCTCTCTTCGTACTGGTCTCCATTCAGGTCTCTATCTCTCAAACTAACTGATCACACTTTCCTCTCAACGAGAATTCTCTCTCCTTTGCTTACCGTCCTCTTTGCCTATTACACCGCTTTGCTGGAAACTAATGGTCGGCTTCTGAATTACCCAGTCGGTCAAGATTCACCTGGCAATGGGCAGCCTAACATTACTTTAATCTTTACCGTGATTGTTAATATAAGTCTGCAGCCGGAAATCTTCAATGTCCAGCTTATTTTCACTTTTTCTCGAATGTTTTCATTTATCTCTTATTTTATTGTCTTTTGGTCAGACCCCACTTAGGATTTACTGTTGGTTATAAAAAGCGAAATGCTTAAGACTGAGATCACTTATTATCCCCTTCTGTATGTATGTTTGATACTTTGATTTAGCGGTGAGCAAATCCACCCAAATGATGTAAAATTAAAGGCATAATAATGTTAGTAGTTTAATGTATTAATTAGAAATAAATTAAATTAAAATGAAGATAACTTGTGTTCCTCTGCCATGCTAAAAATGTAAATGATTTTTAATATATTTATATAGCGTATAATATATTTATATAGCGCATAATATATGTATATAGCGTATAATATTTATATAGCATATATACTGGTGTATAACCCAAGAAGTGTGTGGCAAAAAACTGATGATAAAATGAGTGTAAGCTTCGACGTCAATATATTACTGATTTTCACCAAATTTAATATCTATGTAAAAAAAACAAAAAAAAAAAACGATAAAATATTTAGAGTTTACAACGAAACACTGATTAACTTAGATTTTAGAAGTATTTTACAGAACATTTATCGTGCACATAGTTTTTATTTATGTTTTCCATTCTCGTTATATCAGTCAATTATGTGTTATGCGTGATACACGCCTAGGCGATCATGTATCTTTCGATAGATGACTGACGAGGCAGATTTTTCCCACGCTAGGTTGCCATTTCTATCTGCAGTACACCAGTTGCTATTCAAGGCTATAGGATCTGGTCTATCTTGCTATTTACCCATAGCTGAGGGGGGGGGAGAAGAAGAGGATTCATACCTTTCCCAAGAGTATTAGCACGTAAGTACTGAATGTAATAGATTCGACTGGAATTCGAACTCGGCTCTCCGATTCCTCAATCCGAGGGGTTATACATTCATTATATAGTAAAGTTATTTTTCGCACAAGTAACAGAACAGTATAGTTAAGCTTCAGCGCCATTGATTTTCACATTTTTTCATTGTTTTGTGTTCGAACGAATTTTTTATCAAGCATTTTTCTTTTTTCGCATGTCAAGACTGAAACTTCTTTCTGCAGATCGCCATGTTCTTGTAATATGGCCATGTTCTTGTAATATGGCCATGTTCTTGTAATATGGCTATGTTCCTGTAATATCGATGATACTTCCAGGAAAAAGTTAGACACAAAAAAAAACAAACATAATGTATCTAATCCTAATATTATATTTTTATTATATTAATATAATATTATATTTTTATTTAAATTCTATTCGCCTCTAATGTCTGTTATAGGAAAACATTTTTTATCAGATTTAGAATGCATTAAATCCTTACAAATAGGATTATACAGTGCAGGTTTTTTTAGGAAGTAGAGAGTTCAAGCTTAAAAAAATCTTAGCTATTTTCATAATAAATTTCACCCAGTACGAGGCCCGAGAGCCACTCAAGTTAGGGAGTTACTGAATGAAGTTGATTTATAGACATAAGAAGAGCAGATAAGAAGTTCATGTTATGAGGATATGTAGGATAGATGACGGTTGACACGAGACTTGAAGATTATAAAGATCGAGGAAGCATCCTCTCAGGAGTTTGTTCCACAAAACAGTGGCTATTGGGAAAAATCTATCCGAATGAAACTTCCTTATTATTAATGGAATACGAAGGGAATGAGGATGTTTCAACCCCGTCTGCATAACATGGCGGGTCTTTTACGGTTGACATTGTAAGCAAACTCTCTTCTTCCTCAAGCTCTGAGTAGGCCTTAATAGTTCTTTTAATCTATCTTATTTCCTGGGACCACAATCTCGTAAACTAGCGCAGTTATACAGTTATTGCGCACTACGCTGAGTTAAAGAACAGATTTCTTAGGACCAAAATAAAATAATGAATAAGACGTGGATCGAGCCATGAGTCAATGGCTTAATTTACCAGATTGCCATATTGGTAATCTGAGGGTTGAAGTAATTACAACGTTGCGAACAAATTACTTATTTTGGCTTCATTGTATCATTGTCCTGTCTGTGTCTGCGATTGTGCCAACAATGACACAATGTGTAGCAAGCTCGTCTCACAGACCAATTCGTTCGTGTTGAATGTTCGAGCTCCTCGTGCCAGACTAAGCTAATGATATAATTAACGTTTCACATGGCGGTCACGGTAATGGTCCATACGATTATCACTGTTATATCTATATTATATCTATATTGTTGCATGGGCTGTTGCTGATTTTTGCTGGCCTTGTTTCCTTGTTCAAATGGAGGCGTTTACTATTAATACCATTTGGGGAAAAGGGAAGGTTATGTTTCGGTCGCTAGCAGGCGAATGGAAAGAAGAAAGAACAAACGATCCCTCGTCAAGCAAATTCTTCAATCCCTTTTTCCTCATTATGTGTCCTCGAAATTTCAATTATCTCTTTATGATTCTAATTATGATTGTTCTTTTTGTTTTAATTTTCCTTAAAATTTCCTCATTGATCCCATGTTCCATCCATGGTATTCACAACGTTCTTCTATAGGATCAAATGTCTTTTAGCTCAAATTTCTTCTTCATCAGTGGGGAGATTGTTCAACATTCAATGCAATATAGGAGGATTGATATTATATGTGTTTAATACTCTTTTCTTTTTTTCAGACGGTATTTGTTCTGTTTCTTAATATTTTGTTTTAGTTTTTGCTTTTCTAATGCATCTTCGGATTTCGGCGTCATATTTTCCGTTGTGTATTATAACATTTGCCAGAGAGTTCAATATTTGTACTTGTTTGATTCTGGTGTTTCAAATTCCTAACTCGCATCTTGGGTTGTTCCTCTTCATAACGACCATTGTTGAAGTTTTAACAATGAAGTGTCGAAAAAAACAAAAATATTTTTGATAAACTCTAATAATATTTTATTATCTCCACAGAAAAATAAATGATTTGGTTTCGTTTGTTTTGCTTTACAGCATATCAACCTCAATGGGTTATTTAATGCCAACAAGATTTTTTTTTCTGGTAATATATTTTCTTCAAAAATGTATTGCTAGTAATACGTTTTCTTTCAAAAAATTCATTGCTGGTAATATTTTTTTCCTTAAAAAATGTATTGCTGGTAACATTTTTTTCTTCCAAAATGATCTGCTGGTAATATTTTTTTCTTCGAAAATGTATTGCTGGTAATAATGTATTGCTGGTAATAATTTTTCCTCAAAAAATTTATTGCTGGTATTAAAACCTATTTTTACACTTTCATTGTGTTTTGACTCCAGTTTAGGGGTTAGCTATTTGCCCATCGTTGGGACCCTAACAGGTGCTAGCACCCCGGGTCAGGGTGGACCTGAGACCACCAGCAATTAAAAGGTGGTTCCACACCCCTCAAAACCTCCTGATCAGAGGCCTTGCTGTCGGACGTAGTTTATCGTCTTACCCAGGACGCGGACGTTGTTTATCGTTTTACCCAGGACGTGGAAGTTCTTTATCGTTTTACCCAGGACGCGGATGTAGTTTATCGTTTTACCCAGGACGCGGACGTAGTTTATCGTCGTACCCAGGAGACGCGAAAAATAAATACTTATTAAAATCGTTTTTACTATCGCATGTGAAGACTTTGTGAAAGATTATATATAACCCAAATTTAGAGTGATATTTAAATTAAGAAAATCATTTTTCTTTAAATTGCACATATGTAATATTATCCTTGTTCAATAGTAATGAAAACACGAGACCGAATCTCTGATGATAGACAATATATTTTATTCAACTCCGTCGGCTAGCTTGTGTATATCTGGCCCCGAAATCTAGGAAACGTGCGGGTGGATTCCAGAAAGATACCATCTCATATCTGGGGTTGGTCTTTATATATCTGCCTGTTACATAGTTTTACTAAGCACGCGCATTGCAGGCGCAACTGGGCCGATAAAGTGTTCGCATTCAGTGGTGGACTGGTTGTAAAAATATTGGTTGCCAGGAGGCCCATCCACAACTACAATGCTATCATTTAAGTTTCATAATGAATAAATATAGACGTAAGTCCATATCACGTTGAAACACTGTTTCTCGTACGATCACTGCAGTTAAGCAACGTCGAGCCTGGTCAGTACTTAGCTGGGTGATAGCTTGGGAATGCTGTAAGTTTGGATGTTTGGGTGGTGTAATGGATAAAATCTCAAAATTGGAAATTGCTGGACTGAGTTCCAATTCCAAACTGTTCCGTTATATTCAATTGAGCGCAAATACCCTTTGGTAATGTAAGAATCCACATTCTCTCCTCCAACTATGGGTTAAATAGTAAGATTTGTATCAGTAAGATTATTATAAACTCAAAAAAATTCTTACAATTTAAAAATAATTTATGCCTTTAAATAACTCGCAAAAGGTTAATAAGCCTTAAAAAACAAATCAATCAAAGAATAAAAATAATTTTCAAAAAATACATGAAGAAAAAAAGAGTATAATTAACATTTTTAGCAACTTTCCGCAAACATTTTTTACCAGTGCTCATATTGCAATTTTTACTGTTATCCTTACATTTTTTTTTTTACCAGAGCTCATATTGTAATTTTCGTTGTTATTATTGCTTTTCTCTGGTACTCCTTATTACTAGTTCCCATATTGTATTCATTTCTATGCTTGGTCGGCACAGAAGATGTTCGTGGACGAGCATTTAAAAAACTTCATTATAACCAAAAACATTTGCGACTTCTCTCTTCTGTTTAATATATATATATATATATATATATATATATATATATATATATATATATTCTCATTCAGTATCTGTCTATATTTCTGAGATGAGGTATTATGTACACTATTTACATTATTCGGTTTATTGTTCTAATCTTTGTTGCCATATTTATCACGTTTCGGCCGTTGTGCGCTCCGGCCTTTTTCAGGTGGTTGGAATGTCGAACTGAATCCTTAAGGACATATGACACAGTGGATAAAGGCGTTGGTTAGATCCAGTAACAGGACACAAAGATTTGTGAGTTCAATACCTGGTTAATGCAGTGGAAAACTTGGAGAGGTGAATTAACAGGAGATAACTGATAACTGACATCCATTAGATATGGCACGTGGAAGTAGATCAGTCTACCCCAGCGAGTGAAATAAAGGGTTCTGTTAGACATTCCAACAACTTGAAGAAGGCCGGAGCGTACAACGACGGAAACGTTGTGATAAATATGGCAACAAAGATGAAGACAATAGTTTGAATAATGTAAATAGTGTAATTGGTTGATATTTTAAATAGTTTATTGTATAATTTACACATTAACAGATCGTTTAAAACGAGAATAAAGCATTGTAGTCCACTATATTAAGAGCAATTGTTGTATTCACTGTCAATAATTGCTTCTGAAACCAATTCATCTAACAATTCTTTTTCAATGGATAGCAACTTGTAAATTTTATCAGACAGCAAATATCTTAACCTTGTCTTTATGACCTTTTGCTTTGAAAACGTCCACTCGCATTGGACGTCAGTAACTGATAGTGTGCAAATGACATTATAATGTTCTTATTTCTTTTTATTATTAAAAATTTGTTTCTTTATTGCATTTTTATTTGATATAGGGCACCAACACCATCAGGGGCCAACTTGCCATCGGGCATGCTGACACCCTGGCTAGTCCGCAACTGTTCACATTGTCAGGGCAACCAGTGCTATCGAGTGAATCGTCGATCTCCACCCCTAGCTAGAATGACATTTCTCAGGTCAACACTACATCTGGTTTTACTGAAGGGCACTGAGTGCAAAATATATTCTGGTATAAGACGAGCCACATACTGCCCATAAATTAGCCTATTTTCAAACTACAATTACAAATTGAGATATTAATGTTTCGTTTCAGTTTCCCGCTCATTTACACTTTTTATTATGCTTTCTTTTTCAATATCCAACCAAGGTAAATGTTTTTTTCATCTTGTTTGCAGTCTCATACTTTCAAAATCCGCAATACTCTCGATGTGAGATATCGAGGCAAGCAAATCATCATCATCATCATCATCATCTGAGACCTGTTTTGGGTTACTTGCCTCGAATATCGTCTTGGATCAGCGGTACGTGTCAATAACTTTCAGTTTTCACTTTCGCTACTTCTGCCTAGCGAAGAAGACGTAAGCGCTTTCCTCAAAGAACCAAAAAGGTATTTGATCTTTCAACCGGTAAAGATAATCACTTTTGAAAGGCTTGACTCAACTCACAACGCAACAGACCACGGTGGTGAGGTGTGTTGTTATTTCTGTCTCTTTTTTAGACAGATCCACTGTAAAGATCAACTAGTGTTGTCTGGGCCAAAGTAGCTTTCGAGATAAACAGGGCGTTCTCACCGGTGTCTCGGTATTTTTCGTTTTTTTTTTTTCGTTGTATAATACACAACACTGGATCGCTATTCATTACTTCAAAGACAGGCATGCTGTCAAGAGGTATAGTGTGTGTATGTGTGTGTGCGTGAGAGAGAGAGAGGGGGGCAAAGAGAGAGAATGTGGGAGGAAGAGAGAGAAGAAAGATAGAGGAAGGGGAGAGCGGAGAGAGAGAGAGAGAGTGAGAGTATGAAAAAGGAGAATGACGATAAAGAGAGAGAAAGAGAAAGAGTAGTAAGAGAGAGGAGGAAAACTAGTTTGCAAAAATGTGCAATAACTGCGTACAGAGAACATTATAACGAATGCACAATTAATTACAGACCCAACCCAATCAACATAAAAATAAAATTCTTTGATAACAGCTTACGAAAGCCGAAAACTCTCAAAAGATATTGGCCAATTTAATGTCAAAATTTTCCTCGGATACCATAAAAATGATACAAACCGAAAAATAAAAATAAAAAATAATGTTTTTTTTTTCTTTTAAGCATATCACCCCAAGCAAGGCGGAAATGCCACTAGCACGCATGCGTTTACAGAGAATGAGAGCAAGAGTAAAGAGGTGTGTTTGAGGAAAGGATAAAGAGAAGGATGGGGATTAAGATCAAGACATCAGAAGATGTCGATTGACATTATATTAGAATATTTGAATATAGCTATCAGAGAACCAAGTAAGAGAAAGGGAGTTCCACTGTCGGGAAGTGCAGGATAAGAAGCTGTTGGATTAGAAGAGTCGGATGCATTTAACCGTTTCGACAGTGAAAGGGTGGGACCGAAATGCCAACTTAGTAGAACGCTTAAATCATGCAGTTGCTGTACCAGTGAAAGTAGCTCGTCAGAGCAGTTGCCATTAAAATACTTGTAGAAAAGACAGAGGGAAGCCACATCAGGTCTTTGAGAAAGTGATTGTAGACGAGATGCCAGATCAGGACCTATCACATTGCATATCCGTCTCTGTATTTTGTCGAGGACCTCGAGATGAACAGCGGGGGCATCAGACCATATATGGCAGTAGTATTCAATGCAAGTACGAATGGTTGATTTGTAGATTTGAAATTCATAAGATACACCTGAGGCATAGTAATAAATACGCATATGAGACAATGTAATAAACGAATACACCCTACAATAAATGCATGTACAAGCCGCTATAACGAGTGCCTACATGCATTGCTTAAAAAGTCATATACGCCGAATAAATTGCGAGTTTAAAGTTCAGTGAGACATGTTACAAACATGTTTTGTCAACTCACTTCCAAATTTATACGAGGTGGTAAAACATTTTATAGTAGAATTATCAACAATAAATTTTATAGCAAAATGGTCAACAATAGATTTTATCTGTAGTTGAAGGCATGTAATTGTACTCAGAATATATTTAGTTGAAGGGATACAATTGTGTTCAAAATATTTAGATTTCGGCATTAAATAACCAATAGAGGTTGATATGCCGGTAAACAAAATCGACGAACGAACGAACGAACCAAATTTATAAAATTCTATGAAGCCTACTTACTTTAAGGCACTGGTGTAGAATAAAGGCATTGAAATAAAGGCATTGCAGCGGCAGTGACTAATCAAAGGTCATTGGAAATTCAGGCTAAAAACAACAGACTGTAGACATGTTGATGACTTAATGACGTAGTCGAGTGAGGCGAATACGCATAAACTAGTCGTATGGTTCAATAGCGCGTTATCATTACGTAACTTTAACCAAGGAACACACATATATGAGGTGACGAATAAACATGAAGACAATATGTATACTCATTGGCCCCTTTTATTTCTGTCCCTATTTTTCTTTAGTTTAATTCCCCATCCGCTCCCTCGTTAGGTGGTCAGTGATGTCAGTTTTCAGGTAGATGCCGGATGCCTTTCGTTTCGCGTGTGTGTTTTCGTATTTGTTGTTGTGTTTGAATGAGTGCGTGTTTGTGTGAGTGCGTGGGATGAATGAATGTTTTTTATACTATTGTAACCCCGGATTTTTTAGGTCCAGTTAACTGATGTTTCTGCCACAATTAGGGATTGTGTTTTTTTTTATTACTAACCTTATTTTGTTTTGTTTTCATGTAAATCGTATTAATTCATATTGTATATAATCAATGGGGTTTTTAAATTGTTGTTTTATCCCCCCCCAGACTTTGAAATGTACATATGGGGACTAGTTAGGATTTCATAGAGACATTGGGGTATTATGGTGTATGTAGTAAGAAAGGTAGGAGAGAATGTGTTGTTTTGGTGTTAGGACTATGGTTGGTATGTTCCGGTCAGTATTTGTGGCTAGCTAAGTTTAGAATTAAGACAGAAGAAGACCATCCTTTTCCCCAATCCCCTTTTTGGCCTTGGGCCATATTTTGTATCATCGTACAAATAAATATCTATTCGCGCTAAGGTATTTCCTCTATATCTTTCTGTTTGATTTAAGATTGTTAAACGTAATAACATGATTCAGGTAAAGAAACTACAGCCCTTGTTCAGTTCAAATGTATTATATTACAAAGTTTGTAGGAAGAAAAAGAAAAAGACTACGGTTACAGGACTTAGCCGGTAGCTTGGTAGGGAAAGGATGATTTTTCCAGTAGTTTGGGGGGTAAGGATGAAGGTAATAAAATAATTACTGAAACCTGAACCTCGCCATCCTGTGTGCTAAGCTCTTTGACCAAGGAATGTATGGGAGTCAATTGAAAGTGATGGAAAGGAGAAGAAAAAGAGAAGTGTTTTTTCTACTACAATAAATTGTTCTGATAAACGTGATTTTTAAAA